GCGGTGTTCCACCTCTCCTGCTGCCAGGTGGGAAAAGCAAATCATGCCTCAGCCTCCCCTCAGGAGGCAAATAACAGCCTCCCCCAAGAGCCACCCTTGTGCTGTGTGACCTCCCTTCTGCCTCCAGCTCCTGCTCAGCCCGGCCCGAGGCTTTCCCAGAGCACAGACATTGCTCTGCTCGAGCAGGGACAAGCAGGGACATGAGCAGGATTCTCTGCAGCAAAACCACCCATCACCAACCTGCAGATGCTCAGAGCAAGGCTGAGTCCTCCACACCATAGATGCTGCTCCAAGGTGGGGGATGAGAAGGGAAATTAAGGATGAGGCCAGTGCCTTAAATAAGTGCCTTATGTTGCAAAGCAGGCATCTGGGTTATTTCAGGGCCTGCCTCCTTTCTCATACAATGTACACCCCTAAAATACCCCAAACCAGTGTGTAATGCAGCAACAGCTGATGCTACAGAGGACAAGGTGCCCCCTCACTTATTTCAGTGCAGAGGCATGTGGGTGAAGTACACAGTCATTCCTAGATGCTTAAAGAGCAATCCAAGCCTCCACAGCTTTGCAAACCTCCTCTCCCCTTCCCTCCTTGTGTCCTCAAAAGCACAGATCACTGATTTTCAGTTACTGCTCAGGATGTGGGAAGGGAAGGAGCGAGGTGGGTTGTTTTCCAGGCTGAGCCTGCCTCCTGCACCATCCCTACAGGTACATGAGCCACGTGCCAGGGCAAGCCAGAGATGTGTTGGCTGCATGGCCCTGGGGACACCAGGGAACCACCCTCAACAGGAGCTGATGCTATCAGGCTGGATGAGGCCTCTGCAAGTGGGCTGGGGATGGTGCCAGCGGGGAGCCTGGCATCACCCTGCATGCCAGGGCACAGCCCTGCTGCCAGCTCTCCCCCAGCAGGGACATGCTGCTCCCCCTTGATGCACAGGTTCAAAAAGGGAGGTAACAGCATTATTGTAAGGGGGAAACAGAAGCTGCAGAGTCCTCTGCAAATTTCTCCCCTTCCTCCATTCACTTTCCATTTGTGCTGCTGGGAGGTGTCAGTGGGTCAAAGCTCTTCCCTGTGAGGGTACTGAGGTGCTGAGGCACAGGGTGCCCAGAGAAGCTGTGGCTGCCCCATCCCTGGCAGTGTTCAAGGCCAGGTTGGACACAGGGGCTTGGAGCAACCTGCTCTAGTGGAAGGTGTCCCTGCCCGTGGCAGGGGTTGGAGCTGGAGGAGCTTTAAGGTCTCTTCAACCCAAACCAGCCTGCGATTCTGTCCCCCTTTATGGGTAAGATGCTCTCGCAGTACTGCAGAAAGGCAGCTCCTCCACCTGACACGTGGCCTGCCGCGGTCCTGCCCTCCCTTCTGCCCTTTGCTCTTCAAGGTGTGAGGAGGAAGGGTTGGCACAGCCAGCCCTCACCTGAGGAACAGCCACAGACGCACCCCAGGGGGCTTTGCATGGTTTTATGCACGTGACAGGACTGTCCCATATGCCAGCACAGTGTCTGTCCACTGCAACCTCTGCTTGTGGTGCTGCTTTTCACTGGTGGCTGTCAGACGCTGGCCTGGGAAGGAGTCATGGGCTGGCCCCGTGCTCCTTGCTCAGAAATGCTTCCGACTCCACAAACTCACCCGGGCTCCTGCCATCACTCATTGGCAAGCTCAGCACCCTGTGCCCCACATCACCCATCGGTGAGCTCAGCACCCTGTGCCCCACATCACCCATCGGTGAGCTCAGCACCCTGTGCCCCACATCACCCATCAGCGAGCTCAGCACTCTGTGCCCCACATCACCCATCAGCGAGCTCAGCACTCTGTGCCCAACAAGCCAGGAGTGTTTCCTCACCTGCCTGCCTCAGCTTCCCCTCCCCACTGGGTGTCAGACCTGCAGGAGGGCACCCCAGAGAGCACCCACAAGCACAGGGTGTGGGTCCCCAGAGGCAGCAGCACCTCAAACAGCTTCCCTGGCAGACACTGGAACAGCTCATCCCTGTGGAATGCTCTTGGCTGGACTCACAGGGAATGGGACAGCTTTGAGCAGAGCAGGCACCAAGGGATGGGTCCCTCTGTCCAAAGCTGCTTCACGCTGGTCAGGAAAGGCCAGAGCAGCTGAGAGCTATTCCAGAGGGGCTAAAAATGCCGTGGCTGAGTCAGCGCTGAGGCGCTGCCTGCCCCAGGCCATTGCACGACTCCCATAGCAAACCCCTGCCCTGCTGCTGCTGTGCTGAGCCAGGCACCACGCTCCAGCAGCCCCCTGGGGCGGGCAGACAGGCAGAGCCAGGCTCGTGGAGGGGGACAGACATGGGG